ATTCCGCCATCTCAGTCCATCTCTCAGTTTTGTCATTCTTGCTATTAATTGTTTGGCAGTCTCTCCCGTAGAAAATTTACAGTTTCTAAATTTAGTTCTAAAACCCTCAGCTGTGCAATCAAATCCCTTTAATAGTGCTGATTTTACCAGCTCAAAATTATTTGCTTCTGAAGGGGTTAATTGGTGATATATGTCCAGGGCTTTACCTTGCAATAAGGAGGCTAAACTGATGGCCCACACTTCTTCGGACCAATCTGCATTCCTAGCGAACCTTTCAAACCGCTGAAGGTATGCATCAATGTTATCGCATTTATCATTGAACACAGGTAATTTGGGGTACTTTACCTGTACTTTTGCAGTGTCGTGGTGTGCCACCTCATCTACCACAGGGAACTCTTTTTTTAACTCCAGCTGCCTTATCTTCAATTCTTCTTTCTTTAACTCTGCTTCCATCTTTGCAGTTTCAAATTTTCTCCTTTTTTCTTCATCGTCCATCTCTTTCTGCTTCCATGCTCTTTCCTCCTTCCTTCCTTCTCTTGCTGCTGCCTCTTTCTCCGTTCATACTGCATGCCTTCTTTTATGAACTGGGCTAATTCTACGCCCGTGAGCCCCAGATCTCTGCCGATCTGGTGTAGCTTTTCTGTCTCCATGCTCCAATTCCCTTTTGAAAGGACTTTTCACGAAGGTCGTCCCTGTTCGGGCGCCAAAATGTTATGGACGGGTTCTTGTCTGTTTAAGAAACGACCTTGCCTTTTTATGGGAACTTTGGAGCAGAAATAAAAGCTTTTGTAGGCTATAAGAATTTCTTTTATTAGTCTTATTTTGTAAAGTATTAGCTTTGAATAATGAGGGGTACAAGAACCTCGCCTTCTCTGGTCAGGATTGGATCTTGCCCTCGCATGAGTAGTGTGGAGCGTTTGGAGCTCACCACTCGTCTGACGTTGTCGGCTTCTTCACCTCACCACCTCAGCTGCTGGCGCGCAACTTAGTTTCCTTGGCGGCTTCCTTTTACATTCACTCTCGAATCTGGTCTGCATTCTCGTCATCACTCCACACTTTTCCGTTCGTGCGTCGTCCTCACCTGTACTTGCTCCTGGTATTTCCCCGATTATCAAGTCATACAGGGGCTGTGGTAGACATACGGCATTCACCCTCCCAGTATAATAGGGGGTTTTGACATCAATTACTGCTTCAGGGTAGTAATAAATTTTAGAATTTGCCATCATTATGCCCACTTCCTTACCAGTCAATTTAGACGACGGAACCAGACTTCTCCTTACCAACACTGTTGAACATCCTGTGTCCCTTAGTACTACGGCTTTTCTTCCTTCTACTTCTCCTCTAGCAGTCTTCAACTTCTCCTTACCTTTGGCTAGAGTTCCTCCACACAATTCCTCTCCATCTACAGCTTTCTTTTCACTCTCCTTTGCTTCTCCTCGATTCCATTTCACACTAGTTTCTGGTGCAACTACAACACTGCTTACTGGGGCGGCTGCATCTTCCTTCCGCGGCTGTGGTTTGCTCGTTTTTCCTCAACATTCGGTGGCCTGAAATAACATTCCCATGCCCTGTGTCCCCGTTTATTACATATGAAGCAAGTTACCTGGCCCCGCACTGCGCCTTTTTCCGTTGCTGGGATGCTGGGCGTGGAGGGCTGAGGTGGGCGGAATACCTGCGACTGGTGTGTCATTGCTCGAGTCCCTTGGTTTCCGTGGGCCTCGAGGAAACGATCCGCATTCTCCTGTAGCTCTTGTAGAGTTCTTAGAGATCGCTCTTTTAGGAATAAACTCAGGTTACGGTCACATGAGGATAGAAATTGCTCTCTGATGATCAGTTCCTTTAAAACCTCGTACTCTTTTTCACATTCCGCCATCTCAGTCCATCTCTCAGTTTTGTCATTCTTGCTATTAATTGTTTGGCAGTCTCTCCCGTAGAAAATTTACAGTTTCTAAATTTAGTTCTAAAACCCTCAGCTGTGCAATCAAATCCCTTTAATAGTGCTGATTTTACCAGCTCAAAATTATTTGCTTCTGAAGGGGTTAATTGGTGATATATGTCCAGGGCTTTACCTTGCAATAAGGAGGCTAAACTGATGGCCCACACTTCTTCGGACCAATCTGCATTCCTAGCGAACCTTTCAAACCGCTGAAGGTATGCATCAATGTTATCGCATTTATCATTGAACACAGGTAATTTGGGGTACTTTACCTGTACTTTTGCAGTGTCGTGGTGTGCCACCTCATCTACCACAGGGAACTCTTTTTTTAACTCCAGCTGCCTTATCTTCAATTCTTCTTTCTTTAACTCTGCTTCCATCTTTGCAGTTTCAAATTTTCTCCTTTTTTCTTCATCGTCCATCTCTTTCTGCTTCCATGCTCTTTCCTCCTTCCTTCCTTCTCTTGCTGCTGCCTCTTTCTCCCGTTCATACTGCATGCCTTCTTTTATGAACTGGGCTAATTCTACGCCCGTGAGCCCCAGATCTCTGCCGATCTGGTGTAGC